CAAAAAATCTGAAGTGCCCCAATGAGTATTTCCTTTGAGCATCATGTCAGCACTTGAAAAGTTTCTGATATTAGAACATTTAAGATTTTTGGATTAGGGATACTCAACCTATATCACCTATAATGATCTACAAGGTAAATAACTTGAAAATCAAAAAGTTGGTACTCTTATTAACTGGGACACCGCACAAAGTCCTGTCCTTAACTTGGAATTTTCTACAACTAAATCCTAGTTCTATTATTTAAGCAGATAATTTTTTAAGATTTCTTCTCTGTATAATGAGATAGAACTTAAAGAGATTGTTGTGGAGATTAAATGACATTTCAGATGTAAAGTTCCTAGGACAGTGCCTGACATTTCACTTTGTACTACCAGAATTCTGGAAAGCACACAGTAACTGCAGAAAGTAAACTTTCTTACATTTTGAAATCAAATTTACATACTAGTATTGAAGATGGTTTCCTCAAAATTCCCAGTAGGAAACACACTAATCCCCTCTTTTGGTTTCCCCTTCAGTCTTTTTGGAAGTTTTTCCTTCTTGCTACTTACACCGCTCCCCTCCCAGGCTTATACTTTCCAGGTCAGAGATCCTAGAGAGCCAGGGTGCTGAGTCCCTGAGATAGAGCTGCCTAATCCTCATTTCAGTTCCTTCAGATCTCCAACTCTTTTCCATTGGAAAGGCTGTATTCTTCCTGAAGGAAACTTTGCCTTATAATATCCGAGTTTTGCCTTAAGGCCTCTACGATCTGCTTTTTGGCCAGTCCTCCAAGCTTTAGTTCTTAATATTTGTAGGCAGTTTTGTGGAATTTAGAAGGAAACCTTTTACTGATGAATAGTATCTAGCTTTCAAGACTGCTGTTTCCCTTCAAAGCAAGCTTTGAGATTTGAAGCCTATGTGATCTGTCTGTATTTGCCTTTTCCTTTCCTGGAGTTATTAAGCTTCTTAATATGGCTTAACCTTAATGGCAGGAAGGATAAGCACAAGAAACCAACTGATAACAGAAAATACATTAAGTGTATTCCAGGAATATCATTCCCTTCACTCTTGTTTAGAATTTAAGTTTTAAATTCTTCTTTAGGATTTGAATTTTAAATTTTGCTGGTTTATGAAATCAGGAATATTTTGCAGTAGGGATCCTGGACCCATGAGAGGAGAGTCCCTAAGATCCTTTAAAGAATCTCCCTAAGTCAAAACTAATTTCATAGTAATGCCAAATATTAGCCTTTTCTCACTTACTCTCTTGTGAGGGTACAATGGAGTTTTCTACAGATTGGAAAAGGCTGATTACAGAATCAGATGTAAGAACATAGGCCTTATATTAAGCTACAGTCTTATATTGAGTACCTCTCCTAAAGCTTCTTGCAAGTCATTTTTAATAAGCAATGCTATATATAGTAACATGTAATGGATTGTTTTATACTAACTTAAGATTTTCTTAATTTTAATTTCTAATATGATAAATATCCATATATAGCCCATATAAAAGATTCCTGGGGTTCTCAATAATTTTTAAGCATGTAAAAAGGACCTGAAACAAAGTTTGAGAACAATTGGTTTAAGACTTAAATTTAATATTTAAATAAACACCTGCCTTTTGACATTTAAAAACTCCACACTTTTCCTGAAATCTCTCATTATCCCTTAAGTCCTTGTCTTGTTTATTACAATATCTGCAGCATCAATTGGAGAAATGAATACAAACGACCAGTAAGTGGTGACTATAACACACTCTACAGAGAAATCAATAAGCCAAAATATGTAAGGCAGAGTATGTAGGATGAGCATCAAACTTGGAAGTTAGTAAGAAATGGTGGCAAAACTTTGAGGTAACTAGCAGAAAATAAGCATGTAAGACATTTTGAAGGTATAAGCAAAAATTGTTTCAACTATGTCCTCTTTTTCCCAGAGATTCCTTCAGTCGAATGAGCCTTCGCAAAATGGATCTCTAAACCGAATGCACTTGTTTTATTCATCTGCAAAGAGCCATGTATTCAACATTGAGTGTGAAAAGATCTATTGGAAAACAACATGGAATGGAATTCTGGAAATTAATTTATTATTCATTGAACAATACAGTGACCAAGAAAATATCAAATGTAGATTAACATTTGAGAATCATGGCTATGGTCTCTAATGTTCTGGTAACAAGTTGTTATCGTTTAAGACATTTTAATGACTCAAAGGTACACTATACATTTACCATTATTTATACCATAGCTAACGTTAAATTTATTTACTTTAAGTTCATATTTTTTAATTTATATTACCATTTATAGATTCATTTTGGAACCATTTTAAATGTAGTAATGCTTATTTTAAAGGTACTATTAAATATGTGAATGTTTACACTACTTTTACTGAGTGGGACTTTAAAATTTTTATTTATTGACAATGGCAGAGAACAATTTAAGAGTTGACTCAAGAACTAGTTCCAAACCTAGCTAAATAAAAATCATAGCCCCAAATCAAATAAATGAGTTTGGTAACTGGTTTCTACGTTATTTTCCATTTACATACCAAAAAAAGGAAATCAGAATTGTAGAACTTAGTAAAACTTTTGTCTAAAACAATTTAAATACTGGGATAACTAGTATCAGTGACAACAGCTTGACATTATGATTAAATCTTACTATACCAATGATAATACTATGGACTTCATGACCCTTGGCAACTAAAATGAATGATTCCCATGTTTCAAATTAAAGCCAGCCATCAGTTTTTGATGATGCAAACCAGTAAAACAGAATCTGCGTAAAGCTATTTGGTACCACCATGAAGTAACACAGCTTGAGTTTGAGAGAAGTCACATATTTTCGGACACTAGCATAGAGTTTAGAAGCATATAAAAAGTAAAATTTGCTGCTTTAATTAACTAATTCTTCTAAAATTATATGAAAAGGTCATGCAGAAAAAAAAAAAACTGGGAAGTAGCATTTTAATTTCTTGGGAAGTTATTCCAAAATAGTGCATATTGATTTCCGGAACAGTTTAGACCAATAATTTTTGGGTAGTAGTGCAGCTTACAGAATGGCATCATTTATAATCCTTTTCTTCTACTAACCAGTTACATGAATCTTTTAAGAACAAGGAGGCTGGGTGCAGTGGCTCAAGCCTGTAATCCCAAAACTTTGCGACGCTGAGGCGGGTGGATCACAGGGTCAGGAGTTCAAGTCCAGCCTGCCCAAGATGGTGAAACCCCATCTGTACTAAAACTACAAAAATTAGCCAGGCATGGTGGTAGAAGCCTGTAATCCCAGCTACTCAGGAGGCCGAGGGAGGAGAATTGCTTGAACCCAGAGAGCAGAGGTTGCAGTGAGTCAAGATAAGAACCACTGCACTCTAGCCTGGGCGACAGAGTGAGACTCCATCTCAAAAAAAAGAAAAAAATAAAAAATTAGATTGGCTGGGTGCAGTGGCTCAGGCCTATAATCCCAGCACTCTGGGAGGCCAAGGAAGGTGGATCATGAGGCCAGGAGTTTGAGAACAGCTTGGCCAATATGGCAAAACCCAATCTCTACTAAAAATACAAAAATAAGCCAGGCATGGTGGTGTACACCTGTAATCTGAGCTACTTGGGTGGCTGAGGCATGAGAATCACTGGAACCTGGGAGGTGGAGGTTGCAGTGAGCCAAGATTGCACCACTGCACTTCAGCCTGGGAAAGAGTGACTCTAAAACAAAAAACAAGAACTGGTCAGATTTAATGTAGTGCCTTTGTTATAGTCAGTGCAGTAGATATTCAAAAACATGATACTCAATATCTGAGAGCCTAAGTGATGGTTGATATCCCACTCCATGTGACTTTAATGGGCAATATTATCTCAAATTCTTATCTACATCAATTCAAAGACTGAAACACAAAAAGGTTTTTCAGATGAGTCTACATTGTTGGCCAAATCTGAGTCAGAGGGCATAACCTCAAAACTGTATTTGAGGAGCCAGATGAACAATAAGGAAAGGTAAGGAGTCGGGAATGGAAACCCCTCCCCCACCAAAAAAGTGACATTTCCCCCTTTTTTGGGGGGCAGTGGTGTTATGGACATCATAAGGGAGAGAATAAGGAACCCTTTAAGGGTCACTTTTCATTAGGTTACATTTATTTAAGGGTTTGGAGAAAACTCACACATCTCAGTAACAGTATCAAGGACTTTATGATTTGTATGGTTGATTTAATTATCATGCAAAACCAATTACTTTCTAATATGCTTCAGAACAGAGGCTTCCTCTTAAACATTCGCATGATACTGAATACTGCCTAACTTCTTACAAACTTCATTTTTCCTAAAATGCAACTTTCTCACATCAGGAATTTGTATTACTTCTTAACATTGGCTGTCTCTTCAGTATTCTGGGCCCATTGTCTATCCTAGGCCCATTCCATTAGAAATTTATGGGTAGTGCTCAGGGCTGTTTAAGAATTTCCATTAGTGATTCTGAAAGGTGGGGAGAACCATGATTTTATCATCTCATCATCCTATGGAATAACGTAAGACATTATGTAAACTGTGATTTTTTTTTTTAGTTGATGAAGGTACTCGTTGAAATGTATTTTAGTGTTATCCCAATAGCATTTATATATTTAGAATCATTTCTAGGAAAAACTCTTAGTACCAAGAATGTCCCTTAACAAGTCATGAAATAATTCATCACTTACCAATTCAGCATACCATTTTAAAATGAAATTTTAACCACATTTTTAATGTGTACCCAAAGTATCATCTTAAGTTTTCCAGTTTTGGATTCCATTAAATCATGTCTACCTTAAAGGACAATCAAATGCAACAAATTTCATTATAAACCTCTTTTAAGTATGACAGCATGGATGAACTAAGCATAATTTCTCCTCTTTGAAAAACTCTTCTCCTGCACTGTCAAAGTATTCAATAATAAAGGTAATTATGCATATTCATTCTTATATATATACACATACTTAATCTCTTTAAGAAAATTCAGCTGTATTTATAAAAATATACAAGTAAAAAAATTCAAATATTCATATACATAGTTGTTAAACAGTTTAAATTTTATTGACCTCCCAGTTTTTAAAAAAAGTTAAATTTAAGGTCACACCTCTAAATTTGATGTACTATATACAGATCGTGCAGAATATGAGTTAAAGAGATACAAATTAGTCCATGCCCAAAAAGATATACTAGAGTACAGAATCATCTTCATAAATACATATAAAATTCTTGTGAAGATAGAAGGGAACTGTCCAGGTTTTCTGAGACACTTTTCTAAGTGATTCAAGGCACAAAATGTACAACATTGTGAATACACACATTCTAGACTTTGTGCCCCTGACATAGCCCAAATATTTAGCTTCATGACTCTTATAAAACTAAATGTACTGAATGAGATTCTGCTTCTTGGGTGAAAAACCACAGGACGTATAAACATCATGTAGATAATTACTCCAAAATATGGAGAATACAAATACAAGCACTTTATTTTAAAAAGCAAACACAAAAGACTTTATTTTAAAAAGCAAACACAAAATCCGAAAGTGTTTAAATGCTTCCGTTTTGGATAATTTAATTAAGAACCTATACAAGTTTGTTCCCAGAAGCTAATGCATCACTAGTCTCTACTGAGGAAAATGAATTCTAAAAATTAACATGGTTTTCAGTAATTCAAATTTCACTAATAGAAAAACCTAGAGAGACCAATAATATCCAATAGCTTCAAAAGATAAGCTAAAGACTCTTTCATGTAACCAACTTTACCAATGTTTGTGTGGGTATGTTTAAATATACACAAGGAAAATACACTCACTCTATAATTTCTTATAAAATAGCAAGTAAGGAGTAGAAGTAGGAGATGTAGAAGGGGAAAGAGAATTCAGAAAGTCCTTCTCTTCAGTAACTTTCACTTCAGAATCATCAAAAAGCAACCACTTCCCCTCATACTCTTTCAAGCTTTGCACTACATAGGAAATTTTATTCTCAAATCCACTAATATTAATGCCTGTTTGGTCACTGGATTCCTTGTTTCTATCTGATTCATGGGTCCCATTGGCATCGTTAGTCTCAGAATTTCTATTTTCAGCAAATGCTGTGCTGGCAACCTTATCAGGATTAGAGGCTTTGTTGTATAACTCATAATCTGCTTTACTCTTTTGTCCTCCAAGAAGTCCAATAGCTTCTACATTTTTTTTGTTCAAAACTTTACTTGGCTGTGTATTTCCACCAACTCTAATTGACACTTCTTCATCATCATAATTCTCAACCACACCCCTTGCTTCCTCCTCATTCAATGGTTCTGGCTTACCTATTTCACACATTTGGTCAACCACAAAATTTCCTTTATCTAGTTCTAAACTATTAAGGTCAGTGACTTTAACAGAAGCAGTGTAATGCCCACTACTAATTGTAATGCCACTATGCATCACAACCGCAAATAATCCATAGCTGTCGTTAGTTGGCTTTGTGCTCCATTCTTCTAGTGACAATTTAAGAGGTGTCAATAAAGGAGTGTTGATCTTGGAAAGTCCACCACCATAACAATCAAACCTTTGGGAGGAAAAAAAGAAAAGATTTCCTGCAGTTCCATTTTAAATTGAAAATGTTATACCCCAGTCTGAAACCAAGTAAAAATCTGAGTAAACCCTTAATATTCAGTGTTCATATGAACAATCAGAAAAGCAGAAAACAAGAACCCATCTTTGAATAATATTTGTAATACATGCAGAAACAAAAAAATACTGAAGTAACTTCTAATATTCAGGCATTTCTGTGGAGATAAAGTATTTTTTCCTTTATTTTCCTAATTTTGTGCAGTAAGAAGAGAAATGGTATTTTAAATAGACTGAACCTGAACCCAAATGTTACATTTTAGTTTTTGTGTGTGGTTTTGTTGTTTTTGTTTTTTTCCAAGACAGAGTCTGTCACCCAGGTTGAGTGCAGTGGTATAATCATGGCTAATCACAGCCTCCTGGGCTCAAGTGAGCCTCCCACCTCAGCCTCCAGAGTAGCTGGGATCACAAGTGCACGCCACCACACTGGGTTAGTTTGTGTATTTTTTGTAGAGACAGGGTTTTGTTATGTTGCCCATGCTGGGATTACTAGGTGTGAGCCACCCATGCCCAGCCCATTTTAGTCATTTTTAGTGTGAACTTTTTCTCTACCAAAATTTAGGAAAGTAAATAAAATTGTATTTTATACTATTAGCAAAGGGAAGGTCCATTGAATAAGGGACTATATGTCATTTTCAGACATAATCAAGTGTGAGAGAGCTACTGGGAAGCCCTCATGGTAATTTCAAACAAGCAACTAACATACAAAGGAGTCACATACACAATGACATTATACATGTCAGAAAAACACAGACTATCCAAAACAATTAGCATTTTTTTTCAAACTGTTGAAAGACTAGTTTGATTTCCTGCTTTACCTTACAACTAAGAAAAATTTAGCCTTTCCCACCCCTTCAAAAAAATCTTGATGTATACAAAATTTGTTCCCTGCTAGTCAGTTCTACTGAATTCTGCTACTAACATCTAAGAGGGAATGAATATGAAAAGATGTATAAAGAAACTGCCTATAATCCCAGCACTTTATGAGGCCATGGCAGGTGGACTGCTTGAGTCCAGAAGTTTGAGACCAGACTAGGCAACATGGCAAAACCCATTCTCTACTAAAAATACAAAAAATTAGCTAGGCGTAGTGCCTTCCACCTGTAGTCTCAGCTATTCAGGAGGCTGAGGTGGGAGAATCACCTGAGCCCAGGATGTTGTGGCTACAGTGAGCTGAGGTTGTGCCACTGCGCTCCAGCCTGGGCAACTAGAATAAGACCCCATCTCAAAAAAAGAAAAAAAAGAAAGAAAAAGAAATCTTACTTAGTAGTAGATTATGTATTCATATCCAAAGGATTTAAGGTTGATGCATTTTTATAGGGAAACTGTTAATAAGAGAACAGAACTTTACTAAAGCAATCTTTACAATCTACTTCAGTACTTTATATTCCTTCTATTACAGCATTTTGAACAAGACTTATCTTCTACAGCAGCTAATTTTCTTCATATAGCTCTTATTTACAATACTTACTCCAAACCACTAGCAGCAAAGCACTTCAAATGAATAGTTATAACTTCAGGCATTTTGTCAAACAAAAGACTTCGTTCAGCTTCAGTATAATGATGGCAGTTTTCACAGAAATATTTATCTTCTCCTACAATCCTTTCTACTGAAGCAAATTGTGAAATTGCCCATCTCAGGGTCTTCATTTCCGTTTTTGGCTCTGGAGAAACTAAAAAAGAGAATCCTTTCACTCACAAATAAATATCTCTCTCAGACTCAAAAATAAACCACTAAGTTTCATGTTCAAAATTACCATTTAATTTCAATTGACCAACCCATTCCTAAATAACTAAAGAGATTTTTACTTTCAGAAACTATTTTCATAAGCACATCCAATAGTGCATATCTTTTAAATATCTATATTTGATCAGCAAAAAAAAATTACGATAGAGACAGCAAAAACAAAATAAGCCTAGTTTCTGTGCCTCGGTGTGTAACAAAATAGTTTACAAATTTTCAATATCTGACAGATAAACCTGTCTCATGATTATCTCCTATGGTATTTCCATATTCTGTGGTAAGCACTAGACACAACAGTGGCTCAATTATTGTGTTAAAAATAACCTCAATAACTCTGAAAGACCCAGGTCCCCAAAAGTACACTTATTAAAGCATTTCAGTTTTCCATTCTAACATACTCTATGTCAAAATAAAAATGTCACTATTTCCCAAATGCTATTTACAAGTGAAACCAGATAAGCAGAAAGGTTACAATCAATACCAAAAGCTAGCTTTTTTTCCCCCTCCCTAATTATACCAGCTACTATTAGACTTTGTGTTGTTAAAAAATTATAAATATTCCATGGTCCATACAAGAGTCCAATTTTGCTTACTTTCAGAACTCTCCTCTACTTTGGAAAGCTCATCTTCTTGTACTGGCACACTGATGTCTTGAAAATCTTCTCTTCTTTCTGTTAAACTTTCACATTCCAAGCAACGAGTCCTTAATACCAGCTGACCTTGAAATAATTTCTCCACTAGCTCAAAACCAATTTGTTCCTCACCTAAAATGAAAATAGGAAAATATGAGTCTATACAGATTAGTTTCTCATTATACTCCAAGTAACCAATTTTCCATTTAAATAAAGTATATCATGAATAAAAGTTCCATTTTCATCTATCAGCTTATTAACATTATTAGATAAGAGGTACCCTATTAATGAAATTTAAGGTCCCTGTAAAGATAAAACTTTGACTATGAATTACTACTGTCTCCAAAAGAAGTCAGTTGTAGGCCAGGCACAGTGACTCATGCCTGTAATCCCAGCACTTTGGGAGGCCAAGGTAGACAGAATCATCTGAGGTCAGGAGTTCAAGATCAGCCTGACCAACATGAAGAAATCCTGTCTCTACTAAAAATACAAAATTAGCTGGGCGTGGTGGCGCATGCCTGTAATCCCAGCTACTCAAGAGGCTGAGGCAGGAGAATCACTTGAACCTGGGAGGCGGAGGCTGCAGTGACCCAAGGTTGTGCCATTGCAGTCCAGCCTGGGCAACAAGAGCAAAACTCTGTCTCAAAAAAAAAAAAGTCAGTTGTATTGTAACTCCCTTCCTAAAGACACCTCCCCATACAATAAACCCAGAATAAGGATGATATTTTCAGCAAAACTATTCATCATGTTAATATTACACATTTTCCCTGAGATCTGTAGATCTGGACAAAACTAGGTAAAAATTTAGTTCAAGTATGACGTAAGTTACAGTTATGTACCACCTAACATTTCAATTAACAATGGACTGCGTATGACAGTAGTCCCATACCTATGTTTACCTATCTATACTTAGATGTTTTGGATACACAAATACCACTGTGCTATAGTTGCCTACAGTATTCACTATAGTTATATGATGTACAGGTTACCTAACAGCAATAGGCCATTCAAAGCTTGCCTGCAGCCCATAACAAATTCATAAACTTTCTTAAAACACTATGAGACTTTTTTGTGATTTTTTTTTTTTTTTTTGCTCATCAGCTACCATTAGTATATTTTGTGTGTGGCCCAAGACACTTCTTCCTATGTGGCCCAAGGAAGCCAAAAGATTAGACACCCCTGGTCTATACCACATAGGCTAGTTGTGTAGTATGCTCTACCGTCTAGTTGTATAAGTAAACTGTGACATTCGCACAATGAAACAGCACATTTCTCAAGACATATCCCCGTTGTTAAGCAACATGACTGTACTTCGTCTCTACTTTAAATATTTCACTGAATACAATGTCCTTCATGAGTTTACATCAAACACTGCATAAAGGGAAATGTACTTTTAAATGTACGTTAAGATATACTGAACTTCCCTACTTTTTTATTTTGAGACAGAGTCTTGCTCTGTCACCCAGGCTACCGTGCAGTGGCACAATCTTGACTCACTGCAACCTCGGCCTCATTCTCCTGCCTCAGCCTCCTGAGTAGCTGGGACTACAGGCATGCACCATGCCTGGCTAATTTTTGTATTCTTAGTAGAGATGGGGTTTCGCCATGTTGACCAGGCTAGTCTTGAACTCCTGACCTCAGGTGATCCACCTGCCTCAGCCTCCCAAAGTGCTGGGATTACAGGTGTGAGCTACCGTGGCCCAGCTGAACTTCCCTACTTTATAAACTGTAAGTTAAAATTACTTTCATGACATTATATATATATACACACACACACTAATTTAAGCATAGCACTTAGAACACCATAGTTCACATTCAGTGTTAAATTTCCTTCTCTTGAAACAATTTTATGCATAGATTATATTATATATGTATCTAAGAAGAGAAAATTCTAATTCTATAGCTGTTAATGCTCCTACCTATCAAAGTCTAAGAATTATACTAACCTTTGTTTATGGGTTTAACTTCATTAACATTTACAGGTATAACAGTATTTTCTGGAGATTCAAGTCCATTAGCTGTGTTATCACTTTCACACTTCCCCAAGTCCTCTTCAGGATCATATTCATTTTCTTTAGATTGTCCTTTAGCTCCTTGGTTTGTTGTTATTTTTCCCAGACTACAGAATTTAGAAAGAATGCTGGGTTGCTTATTTGCAGACTTTAACCAATTAATTTTAACTCTTGATTTCTTTTGTGAAGCTCTTGCACTCTCATTTTCGGAAATATACTTGGGAATTACTTTAGGAGGAATCTCTAATGTATCACTTGTAGCTTTTCTTTTTGATCTAGTTTGTCTCTGGTTCTCTTCCAATGACTGGTGTTCCTTGGATACTTTAACTTTTTTCTTCATGCTACCAAATTCTGTGTCGCTTTTTCTTTTCCCATTTCCTTTTGGGAGTTTTTCTTTAAAGTCTTCAGAATGCCTCATACTGTCCATCTCCATGCTGTTAATACCACTCATTTCCTCTTTCTGATGAGGTATTTCTTCTACCTTAGTAGATAATTCTGCCACATTTTTTACTTCTTCTTTTTTTAGGAGTTGGCATGTTTCTTGAATGTTTCCCAAAATACACTGTAATACTTCCTGTGCATCATGCTGTAGATATCCTTCATACATAGGGTTGAGTTCCCTATAAATAAAAATTTCCATTTCATCTATTCTAGTTTTAAAGATATAGTACATAAAACTATTTCTACATAGGAATGAATTCATGTAAGGAATATTGTAAATTATTTAATTTTTAAATCTCATTCAGCACTAATTTGAAATTTCTTACCTGAAACTAAAAGAGTAAATTTTATCTGTTTTTCATTATAATACTTTGAACCTCTTCCAAATATATTAATATATTTAATATATTTATATATTTTATAATGTATTTAATATACTTGATCCTCTTCTAAACATATTAATAACTAACAGTGCTTACCATATACAAGGTCTTAGTCAAAATGCTTTATCTCCTACATATACATTATCTTCATAATAGCAATAGTACCCTATAAGGGACTATTACACCACCACTATTGTCAGATAGATATAGCCACTGAGGCACACAGCGGTTAAATAACTTGCCCAAGGTCACAGAACTAGTTAGGATGAAAAGCCAGTAGTCAAACCCCACTCTTGGTTACCATGTTATAATACTTTTTTATTTTGGAGACAGGAGACTTGCTCTGTCTCCCAGGCTGGACTGTAGTGTTGCAATCTGGCTCACCGCAACTTCCACCTCCTGGGTTCAAACAATTCTCCTGCCTCAGCCTCCCAAGAAGCTGGGACTTTAGGTGTGAACCACCATGCCCAGCCAATTTTTCTATTTTTAGTAGAGGTGGGTTTTCACCATGTTGGCCAGACTGGTCTCGAACTCCTGACCTCAAATGACCCACCCACTTCAGCCTCCCAAAGTGCTGGGACAGGTGTGAGCCACTATGCCCAGCCTACAATACCTCTTAACTAAGGTGTAGCAATACACTGCACCTAGTTCTATTTCTAAACTAAATGCTTAAGTGATTGTTTTAAAGACTTGCCCTATTAGTATAACTTTATTTGAATAAGGCTATTTTATATATATAAAGTTTCATTTTTAAGAAAATAACAAAAAGCAATCTAATCCAGTTATCCAATAGTTCTCCTCTAATCACATATTAACAAAAATACATTATTTGGAACTTACGGTTCTTACACATATTTTGAATATAGTTCTATAACTCCTAATCTGAGGACCATGCATTTAGAAATTCAGACATTTTCAGATTCAAAGATAATACGACGTATAAGTAAAATATTTATCACCAACATGATATGGTAGTACTCTATAATTAAACATGATCCTATTTCTATAGAAGGATGTATGAATATTCACATTAGAGATAAATATGAATAATGACTATAAAAAGCCTAATATATTCAGATCTAACGAATTTAGCACCAAATTTATGAAAAAAAATTCCAGTATTCAGAGCCTCTGGGATATAAAGGACTGTGGACCTAGAGTTTCTTACTTTCCTTGCCCTTTATTTCTGTTTGTTCACATATCATTCTCCTCCAAGGATATAAACAAGTAGCTAAATTGAAACCCTAAAATTATATCATAGGCTATACCTGAGTGTGTTAAGCAGTCGCCGTGGCTGAGTGGCAAGTTCATCAGTGTATTTCTCTGGATTTAAGAGGAAACTAGCCTGGAGCTGTTCAACCGAAATGATTAAGGACTGTAAACTGCATATCAATTCATAACTTGCCAAAGAATCTTCTTTGCAATTTCCCTGTCAAGAAAGAAACACACAAACCAATAATTTTATTTGTGAACAAATTAAGTGCCTTCTTCATTTGTCTTTGTCTCACTTTACTAGCTTTTCTAAGTTGCATTATAGCACTAATTTTATGGGATAGACAAATCAACCTTATTTTTTTTTTATTTTGAGACAGAGTCTCTGTTGCCCAGGCTGGAGTGTGCAATGGCTTGATCGAGGCTCACTGCAGCCTCAACCTCCTGGGCTCAAGCAATCCTCCCACCTCTGAGACTACAGGGGCACACCACCACACCGAGCTAGTTTTTGCATTTTTGGTAGAGAGAGGGTCTTGCCATGTTACCCAGGCTGGTCTTAAACTCCTGCGCTTGAGCAATCCACCCATCTTGGCCACCCAAAGTGCTGGGATTACAGGTGTGAGCCAATACGCCTGGTCTTTTTTGTAATTTTAAGAGGAATTTTTAATTACTATTCATGTGAATTACAATGGTTTTAAATACAGTGTATTTAAATTTTTTAAAAAGTCAATTTGAAAACACAATGGGTAAATAGGTTATACATGGGTATAACATGGTGATTATAGTATACAAACGAGGAAAGTATGATAAACAGATTTGAGGACTAGAGCAAACACTCAGTAAAAGGGAATTATCTAGTTAGCTAAGTTGAAAGAATGAAAAACAACTGCGTTTCTGACAATAGTTCATTAACAGAGAAATAATCTTTGTCATCCTCCCCTCAAAATCCTCTTCGTTTCCAGGCAAATGAATTTCCATTCATTTACTTGGGCATTTTATGTTATTTTCTGTTCTTTTATATATTTTTCCTACCTTGTCTTTTTGATTGGCTTCATCCTTTAGAGCTTCTTTCTTCCTTGAAATAATATTAAATAAGTGCTTCACTCCAGATTTAAAACCAGGACAAAAATATAATACCTATAAAAAGTGAGATTGTGTCAGTGTTTACTGAACCAACAAGATACATAAAATCATTAAAACAATATCATGCTTTCTATAGCGCACTTTTAATGTGTATTACCTAAAATTCTGAGATTAAGCTTTGTGTCAAAATTTGTTCTCCACCCCATCAGTAGTAGCCCAGTGTCTTCCCTCATTGGCACAAAGCACTGAGCCTGGGCAGATATTGCTAAGACTTTAAGGTTACAAGGACACACAATGCCAACATTATTTCCAAGGGATAAGATACATATCACTGTAGCACCAGGAATCAGAGAAAGAAATTAAAGCTTTGAGACATCTTCCATTTTATCAAGGTCTACTCAATTTTATTATCCCACCTTTATTTAGTGTATCACTTTCTCTTACCCCAAAGTTTAATAACATGCAACATATTGTTTTAGCCTACTATATTTACAATCAAAGGCAAAGACAGTATGAACATTAAAGTCCTTCAATAGCTCAGAAACATTAAATGTTACATTGTTACATCATTCTTTGCCGACTAAAGCTTTATTATATAGAAAAATTGTCAATTTACCTGAAGTATACTATTAAGATAACAGGTATTGCCGAGATTATTCAGTCCCACAAATGGTAACAAGTTTTCTCTCTTCTCACAGTTTATAGGTGAAGACTGTGCTGCAGGAACAACTTGATCACTATTAAGTATAGAAGGGAGAAGGATAATCAAGCAGCATCTTAAACAAGGAGAAAATATTACTTCCGTAGATTTAGTCTTTTCCCAAAAGTTGTATAATCTAAAAAGTATGTGAACCTTGTTCACATGACATTTTAAAAAATACAGGCTCAAAAACTGCTACATGCCCAGAATAAGTTTTAAAAGTATTTAAAAACATTATTACACTTAACAAGCCTCAAAACAATTCCCTCAGAAGGATGTTAATCCTATTTTACAGAGTAGGAAATTGAGGAACTAAGACTGTGATTTGTTTCACCTACTTTGACATTTTAATCAAGTAGTTTTACTGAATAAAAACCTGGGAATAAACTAACCATGACAATATTTGGGAGAGGCTGCACTAAGTAAGATTCTATCAGTCAGAATTCAGAGGAAAGAAAGTCTATGAAGAGAATTATATATGACTTCCTGCTGGCCAAAAAAAGAAAAATTATATAGCTATTCCTCACAATGTTCAGAAGGTGGATGTGGTGGCACTGACATGTAATCCCAGCTACTTGGGAGGACTGCTTGAGCCCAGGAGTTCAAGACCAGCCTGGGCAATACAATGAGACCCTGTCTCCAAAAAAAAAAGTTCAAGTTTATTATTCTTTTACTTCCTTAACAATCAAAAAAAAACCCCACTAGGTCCTCCCAGTATTTTCATTTATTTTACGATTGCTAGCTATCATTACTCTAGCATCTTAAAGTATTTAGAAGCATGAATGCTGATAAACAAAAGGTTCTCTCTCAATCTCAACTGATTATTGGTAGCTATTAGGAAATTAACACATGGGACCAAATCCACCTTAGTCACCCAGCAGAGTGCTTATTTGTTAAACAGGAAAGGAGTACAGACTCCAGCTAGAGCTGCTGTTGATGAAATAAAGTATTCTACTTTGTTCTGATTTATTTTCAGTAGCTAAAGAATTTATTTGCATCAAAAGCATTACTTATTTATAGGTTTATTTTTATGATTTACAATCGTATGCCTCCAACAGGTATGACTAATTATATATGACTACAAAGTTTAAAATGTAAACTGCCAAGTCTTCTGAACCAAACAAATATATATCACCTTTTATCCCTACACAAATGTTTTGCATTGCAAATAATCAAATTTAAACTCAGAAAGACAATTTTAGTCAATAAATATTTCTCCAAGTTAGTCTAAATGCCTGAGCACAGTGTTCATGAGTTAAACATTATGGATGTGATCCCTATGGGAACCACCAGTTTTGCTGTTCCTACTATAAACTACTAGACTTACTAAAAAGTACACTTAGGTGTACTTTTTTTTGCCTCTATAAAGTCAGACTGGAGTTGTCAATCAAGTTCACTGCTGCTTCACCATAGAATTTTAACAGTACAGAAATGTAAGATACATACATTTCAGATGCTCTATATTCAGAAACTTTTTCTTCATTTTCTTGAGAATTTGTGAAATCCAAAGCTCTCTTAGTTTCTTTCTTTTGAAAAAACTTTAAAGAAAGTCTGTTTTTCTTTGATGGGCTACCTCTTGAAAGTCCATTACTTTCACTAGGTATGACACCAGGCATTTTTTTCTTCAAATCCCAAGGAGTTGTCAAGAACAAATTTATAGGGAAAAGTTGTAATCACCAATTATATCTGTTAACCGCAGAGAAAAATTTGTATCAGTTTTAGGTAACAAAATCATCAATTTTGAAAACAAATTTACCAAGGGAATGATACATTAGAAATTAATATTTGAAAACCTCATGCCTGCCAATAAGCACTCAATATTTATTGTTTAAATGAAGGAGCTTGCCACACTATTCATAAAGAACAAAAAATAAAAGCTACTGAATTTTTTAAATCAGCCTGCTATGGATTAAGGGTCGCATTACAAAATATCCTATTTAATAGACCTACAGTAAGGTAGTATTAGTAAAAACTTAGTATTTCATTATAATAATGCATTCAGAAAATACTGACTGAGCACTACCACCTCTAATTCCCAAGTACAAGGTGGGAAACAAGGATGAACAGAAAATCATAGTGCTGGACGATGAGTCCCCTTTTCCAAGGCCTTTTCTAGTTACTAACATGAATACATGAAAATAAGGTATCAGTATCTAAAAAGCTTATTAAAGTATAATCTGCATTCAAGGCATAGGGATGGTGTTAAGTTATACCTAAAAACCCAAGTGAAAGATAATAAAACATATGCAAAGTTGAGACAGTGATATAAAAAACTGTTTGATGCACTCTGTGTAAATCAAATTCTCGGCTCACTGAAACCTCCACTTCCCGGGTTCAATCGATTCTCCTGCCTCAGCCTCCTGAGTAGCTGGGATTACAGGTGTGCACCATCACGTCCGACTAATTTCTTTGCATTTTTAGTAGAGACGGGGCTTCACCATGTTGGCCAGGCTGGTCTCCAACTCCTGACCTCATGATCCGCCCGCCTCGGCCTCCCAAAGTGCTGGGATTACAGGCGTGTGCTACCTCGCCCGGCCCGTAAATCAAACTCTTAATGCACTAGAAACTACAATATTCTACTCGTTTTCCAAACTTTTAAAAAAAAACTTTGGTTTTTAAAAATAGTGCTTTCAGTAGGAAAAATGATGATCTTGTTTGCCATTTGCAACTTTCCTACCCTGTTTTAAAGTAAAACTTTCACATGAAAAAATAATGGCAACATTTGTAGGAGTTAACATTTTCTACTTCAGTCCTATATTTCAGTAGAACAAATGAGGAAAAATTGTCTGACTGGAGTATTGTCATTAAATTACTTAAAGCCCAAAACCTCAGCAACGACTTTCAAATTTGAAATGCAGAGTGATAAAATGAACTAGACAAAACTCATTCAAATTCCATCCTTAATAGGCATTTCACTTGGCTGACAGCGATCTAGGAATTCACACTGAACTCAGCACTGAAATCATTTTTGAGACCCAAGTCAGGATGATCTGTAAAGTGACCAATCTCCCCATTCTGTCACCAACTCCACTTACTCTCCTGTTCATATCCAATGCTTCTCAGGAAGCGCTGTCTTCTGACTGATAAACCAACCTGCGCTAAGTTCTCAGGGATCGCCAAGCATTAATGATTCTGATAAAAGGTTTTTCTCGAGAGCCCATTCTAATGGATGATAGAAACTGGATCTCAAACTGACAGAGTAACCGGACTTCACAGAAGAATGATTAGGGGGGTGAAATAGCGGATCGTCAGCTTAATCAACGAAACAAACTCCTGGTCCCTCAAAGCAATGCTCACACCGAGAATGCAACATTTTGCCAGATGCAGTATCTTCCGCGCTATTATTTCTTGCTCCTAGCTTTCCTTATAACTGGGGGACTGTTACATCCAAAATATTTCTCCTGTAACTAACTCAACTTCCGCAGAAAGCACAACGAATCGACCATTATCTGTTGACAGCGTGAACACTCAGTCCCAACAGTTTTAATTTCTTTCCTTTATGACACGACTCGATTCCGATTTCTCGAGAAAAATCTACAACAAGGACAATATCTTCGCCAAGGTTTAAGACACGTGGCGTTCTAAATACTTCTGGTGAAAGTGTAAGTGAAAGAAAATGCGCGGTAAAATTTCGCAATTACCGACACAGTGCAAGCTGCGTGGAAACGTTTCTTTCTCCCCATCCTTCACCGCTCTCGGGAACGGAAAAGAAACTGGAAGGACGTGCAGCAACCGGGCCACCGGGCCACCGGGCCGGGGGAGGCTGGCGGCGGCGTCCTCGGCCCACACCCCCGCGCCGAGCGCCCTCGCCGTGGAATTGGCCTATTTACGCCCAGCCCGCACCTGCCTTCTCGGGTCCCGGTGGCGGCAAGACAGGCGCCCCGCCCGGGGCACACACGGCTCCCGCTGGCAGCTTGGTCAGGGTGCAGGGCCAACACACTCCCGGGGTCTCCCTGGCAGTACCTCTCCGGCGCCGGCCGAACTTGCCCCCGCGCCCGAGCGCCGGGCCCTCCTCCCAGGCCCTTCTTACCTGGTCATGGCCAAAAGCGAGTTCCGCGGCGGTGACGCCGGCGAGTCCAACCCGAATGAGTGTGGGTGCGACAGGTGAGTCCCTGCCCCGAGCCCGCCGGATCCCCGGCCCCAGGAAAATCTGGTCGGATCGCCCTCCCCGCGGGGGAGTGACCATCCGCTCCCAAGAGCGGGAACCCGGGCCACCGCTCGGTCCCGCTTTGCACCGGCACGAACTACATCCCCGGAGCTGCGCCCATCCGCGCCCGCCCCGGGACGGCCAGGAACGCAAGAAGCAGCGGCCCCACTCGCTGAGCGCCTGAACCGCTAGGGTCCTTCGCACTCCACCACCGAGGGGAACTTGGCGCGTTTTCCTCAGTCTCAGGACCCCCGTGTTTTAGCCTCCGCCCGCGCCAGCGCTGCGATTGAAGGTGGCGTCCTTTGAAATTGCCGGTTCTAGTCTCCACGTTGCAGAGACGCGAAAGTCAGGAGCTGCCTCGCGACGGCCACTCACCCCCGGCACGCACGGGCTCCGGAGCCAACTGGGACGGTAGTTCCCCAATAGCCTAACCGGTTCCGCAGTTTCAAACAGCGCAGGCACAGAGCCGGGCAGCTCGTGCGGGTCCTCGCTGAGGGCGCGCGCGAAGTGCTAGCGGCCTGGCTGGCGGGCTCGAGCCTCACACCCTTTTTTTAACCATTCGTGCGCGCGAGTTAAGGGAAAGCGTACGGGTCGGGAGACGGGACAGAGAAAAGACCGACGGGCCACCGCCTCGAGAAGGAGCCCAAATTCACCAATCCATGATGAATAGTCCCCAAAACCGCGCCCCCCACCGCCCGGGGGAAGCCAATCAGAAGTACCTAGACCAAAGCCAATTAGATGGGCGGGAACAGCAAGCCCAGCTAATAGAAAAAAAAGAAGAAAGGAGGGCTCTAGCCAATCATTGTTCGACATACGGTGCGTTCCTCAGGCGCGGTGCCCCTCCTTCCGCTCTCATTGGCGCTCGAGTGCGCGCTTTCGCTTCCGACTGTTAAAATCTTGTTTGGCGTTTTGTTAATCTTCGACGGTGGGACGCCGCGGAGGGTGCGGCTTCCGGAGCGAGGCCCTCGCGGCAAGCCCCGCCTCCCGTTCGTGCGTACGCGCCCGGGCGGGGTTACTAGGATAGCAGCTTCCGAAAATGGCTGCCAGGGTAGCCGCTGGCGCCACGCTGAGGCTTTCGGTTCTGAGTCGCAGCCCCAGTGGGCCTAGGGCCATCCAGTGAGACAAGGTGCTGCCACAGATAACAGTACATTCTCAGGCGAATGCTGTAGAGCTGAGGCCCCATCCTCAGCCCCTCCACGCCTCATTTTTTTCTTATTTACCCCTTTCCCATTTCGGTGCGCCTGTTTAACCCTTCCCCTCCTCGGCCGCAGAAGGAAACGAAAGAACAGTTTCAGGCCCAGCTCCGGCCACAGGAGCTTCCCAGCGTTCCCGCGCGGGCCCTCCCAAAGGGTGCAGGAGCGGCAGGCAGGCCTCATCTGCTTGTGCTTCGTTTTGTGTTTGTGTGCTTGCTTTGGTGAGGTGACCTCAACGCGAGTGCTGCCGTTAAGTAAGTTATGTTCAGTCCAAATCCATTTAATCAAATATTTTTAAGACGCCTACTATGTACCAGGCATTTTTCAAGGCTTGAGGGATGAAATGCATTCCCTGCCATAAAGGAGCACTACATTCTGGAGAGGGAGTCAAGTGACACTAAGATAAGTGATGGATACTTATCCGTATAAGTAGTCTGGAAAGATCTCTTTGAGTTGACATTTGAGCAGAGCTGAATAAAACTGAGCGAGCCTTGGAGGAATCTGAGGGAAGAATGGTGCAGGCAGAGAGAACAGCAAGTTAGAAAGGTCCTGAAGCTTAATGTGCTTGGTGTCTTGGAAAGGAGCAACGAGGCCAGGGCGCTTAGAGCACAGTGAGTTTAAGAAAAGATGGGAGAACGGGCGCTGTGGCTCATGCCTGTAATCCTGGCACTTTGGGAGGCTAAGGCAGGTGGATCACGAGGTCAAGAGATCGAAACCATCCTGGCTAACACGGTGAAACCCCGTCTCTACTAAAAATACAAAAAATTAGCCAGGCGTGGTGGCATGCGCCTGTAGTCCCTGCCACTCAGGAGGCTGAGGCAGAAGAATCGCTTGAGCCTGGGAGACGGAGGTTGCAGCAAGCCGAGATTGTGCCACTGCACTCCAGCTTTGGTGACAGAGCAAGACTCCATCACTAAAAAAAAAAGAAGAATAAGAAGATGGGACATGGATGAGACTGGCAGGGCCCTGGGTAAGCTGAGTAAGGAGATGGGAGTGGTTGGATGATTCTGAGCTGGGGAATGGCAGGATACACGTTGACCTTCAAGAGTACAAGCAGAAGGCCAGGCGCGGTGACTCACACCTGTAATTCCAACACTGTGGGAGGCCGAGGCAGGTAGATCACCTGAAATCAGAAGTTCAAGACCAGCCTAATTAACATGGTAAAACCCTGTCCCTACTAAAATTACAAAATTAGCCAGGCGTGGTGGCACAGGCCTGTAGTCCCAGGTACTCTGGAGGCTGAGGCTGGAGAATCACTTGAACCTGGAAGTGGAGGTTGCAGAGAGCCAAGATCACGCCACTGCACTCCAGCCTGGGCAACAAGAGCAAAACTCTGTCTCAAAAAAAAGTAGAAACAGAAAGATCAGCCAAAATTCTGGTTAAATAAGCCAAGAAATAAATTTTGATAGTTTGGAATAAGATGGTGGGATGCTGAAAACTGGTAGCGTTCAAGCTATATTTTGAGTATAGCCAATGAGCTCTGCTAATAGATTGGCTGTATGATAATGTAAGAAAACACAGGCCGGGCATCCAATGGGCGGCCAAGGTCGGTGAATCACTTGAACCCAGGAGTTCAAGACCAGCCTGGACAACACGGTGAGACCCATCTCTATGAAAAAAACTCCAAAAATTGGCCGGGCGTGGTGGCACTTGCCTGTAGTCCCAGCTACTCGGGAGGCTGAGGTGGGAGGATCTCTGGCTGCAGTGAAGTGAGATGCACCACTGCACTCTGGCCTGGGTGAGAATACGAAACCTTGTCATATGTCCCCCCCCAGAAAAAGAAAGAAAAAGCAAGGATAACAATGATTTTGTTTTGTCTTGTTTCATCTGAGCAACTTAGATAACTATTGGTCCTTGCTAAAATGGGGGTCTTAGTGGGCTAAATGGGAGGGATCATCATTAGAATATTAAGATTGAGATGCTTATTTAACATACAGATGTTGAGCCAGCATATAACAAAATACACAAGGACAAGATTAGAAAATATGTAAGTCAGTCTTTCTTAGCCATTGTGTATCACAGACTGGCAGTGTCTCATTTTCTAGTACTAGCAGAATTACTGCTACTTTCAATCTCTACCAGAACGGATAAGCAATTCTATTTTCCCATATCCCTGAGATCCTATTGTCTGCAGCCACTATTCTTCCTGTATTCAATATGTGGTATCAGTTAAGATTCAGTTGCAGAAAATAGAATCCATTTCAGCTAGTAGAAACTCAATGGTATCGCATACTTGGGAGGGTTGATTAAATAGGCTCTAGATTAGTTTTTCAGCAATGACTCTTCTATGATCCGGAAATGATGTCTCTGAATCACATTGCTACTGCAATGCCTCGGAAACCTCCACCATCAGAAAGCTGCTTGCACTGCTGACCCTAGAACCTCACTATATCCACTATGATCTGCACCAGTGCCATGCATGTCCTAGGTCCTGCCTGTCAATACCCACAGGACAAGTGGCTGGACACAGATTTCTGCTAATGCTGCTTCAGAAAAATCAAACACCTCCACACCTGTGCTTGTCAATAGCCATAGCAGAAGCTTGGTGTATCTCTGGCAATATAATTCATGTGAAAATTTAATATCCTTCTCATCCTTTTGCTCTCAGTCAGTTCTTTGTGGGAGAAATTCTAGCCACAGTTCTTGCTTAGTTTTTAAGCCCAGAAACTTTTTTCCTGGTTTCTGTGCACTCCTCAGCTACCCTACTCTTAATGACAGCTAATCCCACTGGAAAAATGGGATTTAATAGGTTCACAGCATTCTTAATCCTATATTTGTCAGTCTTGTATGGGTAAATGCCAGGCATATTTCCTTCCTAAGTTTCACAGGCACTGTTTCTATGTACAGTCATCCCTTGGTATCTATGGTGAATTGGTTCCAGGACCCTTGTCGATATCAAAATCCAAGGATACTCAAGTCCCATATATAAAATGGCATAAATTTGCATACAACTTATGCACATCCTGCATATATTTTAAATAATCTTTAGATTACTCAATTACCTAATACAATGTCTACACATCACTTCATTCACATGGATTTAACATAGTATTTAACACTTGGCATGTGGCAAGTTCCAGTTTTGCTTTTTGGAACTTTGTGTACCTTTTTTCATAAGGTTCTTTGATCTGTGGTTGGTTGAATCCATGTATTTGGAACCCATGAATGTGGAAGGCCAACTGTACTTCAGTCTGAAGGCAAGAAGAAGTGTGGTTTTTTTCCCGCCCTTTAAAGTTTCAAATTATGAGGTGTTTTTTAGGGGGAGGTGTTGGGAATCGAGTCTTGTTTTGTCACCCAGGCTGTAGTGCAATAGCATGATCTTGGCTCACTGCAGCTCCGCCTCCTGGGTTCAAGCAATTTTCCTGCCTTAGCCTCCTGAGTAACTGAGATTACAGGTGCACGCCACCATGCACCACACCCAGCTAATTTTTGTATTTTTATTAGAGACTGGTTTCACTATGTTGGCCAGGCTAGTCTCCGCCATTTCCAACCATTTCCCTTCATGCCACAACTTTGGGAGGAAAAGGGTTTGTGCCCCCACATTCTCTCCTGGTGCACAACGATTTTGTGCCATTTTCTAAGGTTGTTTTCTCTGACGATTTCCAAAGTCACATTTGGATTCCTTCCTTTTCCAACCATTTCCCTTCATGCCACAACCCTTTGGGAGGAAAAGGGTTTGCGCCCCCACATTCTCTCCTGGTGCACAATGATTTTGTGCCATTTTCTAACGTTGTTTTCTCTGACGATTTCCAAAGTCACATTTGGATTCCTTCAGAATTGTATTTGTCAGCTAGCAGCTTGGAGGAGGAGGAGGACGACAACGACGAAGAGGAGGTGGAGCAGGAGGAGGAGGAGAGGAGGAGGAGGAATGTGGGGAAGGAGGGCGGGTGAGGGAGGAGGCTGGCAGACAGCGTCGGCACACGGATAAATGGCTTTGACTGAAGGACCCGTGCCGCGCCTCATGCACCAGCAATGCAAGCACGCTGCTCGGCAGCAACGCCGACGTCACTATTCCCTTCATGCCACAGATTGGTATGTGATCTGCCTTCTAAAGCTGGCAACAGGTTTACCAAATGTCTGGCAACTGGACAACAAGGGTCACCAGTTTTTCATCTTGCAGTATCTGAGTCTTTACCACCCACTGCCCAAATGCTTCTACTAAACAAACACCACATTTCTTTTAAGGTTATGTGTAACACAAATTTATAGGAACCAAACTTTGCATCCAATAGGCATAGGTTCGTTTATGAGTAACAGAATATTTTTAAGTGGCCTTAGCTAAAATTAACATTTATTTATTTATCATGTATACAGAAAGCAGAAGTAGGCAGTCTAGATTAGTATGGTGATTCCATGACCATCAGGGACCTAATTTCTTCCATTCTCAACATGTGGCTTCTATTTTTTGGTCCTAGATAGTTGTTTGGATTCCAGCTATCATGTCTACACTCCTATGCAGGAAAGAAAAAAGGATAAAGATGATCATGGTCCCCTCTCTTTAAAGGTACTTCCTGGAAGCTGTACAAACCATTCCTACTTATAGCTCATTGGCCAGAGCTTAAGTCATATGACAGCATTATTCTGGGTGGCCATATACCCAACTAAAAATCAAGGGTTATAATATTAAGGAAGAATAATAAAATGGATATTAGGGAACAAATAGCATTCTCTGCTATGCTTCCCTGTACTAAGTTAAAAAAAAAATCGTCAGCAGGCGAAGATACCCCAAAAGGTGAAAAATGGAAAAGTACTGTACACCTTTTGGTTCCTTGAAAAGAGAATATGCT